TATTCACGACCGATACCATACGAGTGGAAAGCCATGTTCGTGTCTGCTATTTTACGTCAACGATACGTACACAGTACCGCTAGCTGTCGCAATTTCGGTTCTCGATTGTCTTTGTGCTTTTTCACTGCATTATTTCGTTCACATCTTGTTCAACTTGGTCTTGTGTTCGCCTGCGGCGTGGGAATTTTACGAATGAAAGCTCGCGGTTGTAATGTCAACGGGAAACGAGAGGATATATGTCCGTTTCTCGTGGACTCGTCAGTGATACTATTCTCGAGAATAGACGATAGGCAGTATCAGTGTAGGTTCTGAGCTTGCTAGCTTCATCGTAAGCTCCTTAGGACTGTGCGATCGTGTATCTTATGTTAATTGTTATCATTTTTCGAAAGATATGCACTTGTCTTCCGTAGAGGACTCTCCATTACTGCCTGCGCATGGTGATTGTGCCAAACGGGGTGGTATTATGTTCTGGGAGACGACCTTGACACTCTCAACAGTTGCCCTTTAGTCACTCGACGTTATTTGCTCCACTCTCTTCCGCGTGAGCATGCATACTCGTATTTCTGTAGAATCCTTATTAACAGACATCGTAACTTCTACGTTTCGAATATATCCATATATATCGGGACATTCAAGACCTAGATTGTGTTGAAAAAGATAGATAAATCCCCTGTCTAAACTTTGCGTAGAACCATATAATTTGGATTGTTAAGTGGACGCGCCACTAGCAAGACTATCGTGCTCAGCGCACGGGCTTGAATTCGACTTGCACTGCACAACGACAGCGCAGCCTGGAGAGCTTCTCGTCAAAGATCTCTTGCATCTTCATCCTCATCTTCACGTCATCCACCTTCATTGCACCCGGTGGAGATAGCGATGCAAGATAATAACAATTGAAAAGGATCGTTTGCAGCCCGTTCCAGAGCATCAAGCCCTCCTCTATCCTCGCCCAATCGGCATCATTCACTGCGTACCGCAGAAAATCGATCACGTCGGTAGGCTCCAGCCGCCCAGATGGACCGCGGAATAAGATTTCAACAGCGAGGGAGGAGAGAGTAGATGGTGGAGGAAACCATGTGTTGATGGTTGTAGAGAGAAGGTTAAAGGGCGGTTTAGTGAGGCGAGGGCTAGGGATAGGACTATGAGAAATACGGGGGGGGATAGTCACTCCGAACCCGTTAAGTACGATGGAAGTAAGCGAGTGCAGAGGTTCTAGGCTGACACAGGCAAAATTGGGCACAAGTCCTACGCATTAACATCTAGTCAGTTCTACACACTTAAATTATTGTATTTTGCACATACCGGATAACTCGTATGCTTGCAGGTTGATCATCAGGTGTTTCGAATTGGTAAATCCTCCTGAGGACATCATTCCTCCGAAAACGCTCCAATCCTTCTGAACCTCGCTTTCAATCTTTACAACGCTCTCCACAGCTATCATCGATGACATGATCATTAAAGCCTCAGCGTAGCATTTCCGAAGCACCCTAGTACCAATGACCAAATTGCCTACGTGTAGCGGTGACCGGGTGTCAATCAAAGGCATGCTTTGCGGTAAGGGCATTTCATTCATGGGAGCGATGAGGTGAAGGGTGCGGATGGATGAAAAAAGACGAAGCATGACGGATAAGTCAGAGTCGACATTGATAGTGAGGCGATCCAGAGATATTGGTTTGATGGCGCCAGACAGCCCTTTTCCTACGCCCAACGAAATATCCAAATTCAACGCTTGGAGGCACGGCAAAGCGGCAAGAATGAATTCTAGGTCACTCATGGTGTGTTCAGGTAGGGAATCAGGAATGTAGTAGATTTCTTCCGGGTCCTGTTGCGGGCGAATGGCTGAGGGATTTGAGATATTTGAGCGGAAAGGGTCCGATATACGCAGCTCCCGAATGTAATCTATCGCTGGAGGAAATCCTAAGGGCAGTGCTGTGCATGCAGCAGTGCTGGATGTAAGGAACGCAGCAAAATGCTGGAGGGCATCGCCGTTGGTGCGTGAAAGGATGATGCGCATTTTGCTGAAGAGGTGAAAACGGGACCGAGGGATCCAGGCGCGGCAAACAAGGGAGCAGGATTTAAGTGTCGTGATGTCTGACTTGAGGTGAACATCGTCAATGATTGACTCGGTTATCTCTTGTGGTATGGAGGGGATCGTGTACATGATTATAGGTAGACGTCTAGAACAAAAGTAAAGATGAATACAAGTTTAGCACATAAACGCATCTAGACTGACCCTGGATAGTCGGACACCGCTGAGGATGTGGTCGCGTTCGGATGTGGGGATAAAGGTAGGTAGGAAGTCAAAGACACGTACTTGTATCCATTGCACTGGAAGTTGGCACAGAGTAACCTGTTCTACAATTAAATCAGGCCAAAATTGGACGAGACCTCTCACGAAGCGCCCGCATGTTCGCACGCTACAAGTGTTCGGATGTATCGAACCAGTGCACCCAGTTCCGTGGTATGCGAGTGAAGGGCGTGCTAGATCTTATTGCCGATGAGAGGATGGTCTGCTCATAGAGTCCGTAATGAAGCATCGCTGCAAGTGGAAAGCACATTCCACGTATGTGCCCAAGACTGAATGCCCCTCCTGAGAAGAACTTCAAATTCGCTTCTTGAGTTGAGTTTCGACTTTGCCAGTTGACTCTGAATATTCCACATTGGCAACAAGTGTCCGCGCCAGAATACGCGCCCCGTGAAATCGGATATTCAGGAAGAAGTGTTCAGCCGTAGTGTCAAGGCTGAGATATGAAGTCATACTAATCGCAGAGATAGCAGAGGACGGGTTCCCAGGATGACTTGGCTAAACGAGACATCGCTAGCGGGTGGAACGAGTAAACCGAGATCGTCGCGCAGGTCCGGACGATGTCTATTTTGAATATCAAGTAATCAAGGGAATAAACATGTGTGCATCGAAAGTAGATGTTGCCGAAGATTGTAAGGACAGGAGGAGGTCAAGTGTAAACGATGGCTTGTCCGGCTCCTACCAGAGGAAGGCGCCTTCTACGCGCGTCTTTAGGAATTCCTGGCTATCCAGCGATGGTAAGTTCCTCCTAAAAAGCCTTCGGATGTCTGCCTCGAGCTCAGAGACACCATCAGCGGCGAGCACAGTGCGCTGGACCGTCACCTGCGTCACGATCTCTCGCAGACCGCTCCATTTCGCCAGCGAGCGCTCAAAGTCCACCCAATCCAAGTTATCCTCCAATAGCCCTAGTACCGCACTACGATCTCCGGGCACGCGGAATCCGAAGGTGATGTCTTCAACTGTCGGGATAGGGATAGATATCAAAGTGCAGAGCGAGGATGACATGAAGTTGTTAATCCGATCCCGAGTCGTCGGCGTCGGCGTTGCCTCGTCGTGATCGCAGGGAATGCGGAGGGATAAACCTGAGAGGGTAAGAGATTGGAGGAAACGAAGCCGTCCAAGGTCGAAGGTAGCTTTAAACCCGCTAGGTACGTCTATATTAAGCAATAATGCGGGCAAAGACGAAAACAAGGCGTGATGCCGTGATAAGAAAATACACCCTAGGACGAGTAAATAATGACGAACCTGTCAAATTGAGATCCACTGAGAGGCGATGCAATGTGTCACATCCGCTATCGTTGGCCAAGAACGCGCCCAGGGACTCAACGTCGTCTTTTGTACGACAGTAGACCGTCAAATCTTCTACCGTCTCACTGAGGCCTGTCTTTTTCAAAAGACCAAGGTAGAATCCTCCGTGGGTATCCATATTCAAGGAAAGGGCGGCCACCTCCAACCCACGTCCGCGCTGAACCGAATTTGTAAACTCATCGGCAGATGCTAAAAGTGTACGACTGACTGGACTGCCAGTGGGCGCGAAGGGGAAATCTTTGACACGCGTACCAAAATGGCAGTGGATTTTCAAAGAGCCGACTTGTGAAAAGAGGCGCAGGATTGTCAAGATCTCCGAGGACACTTCCAGGATGTCCAGTTTGAGCACGAGGCGGTCCAACGTAAATAGTTTCACAGGCGACTGGGAAGGGGACCCTTTGGAGTCCAGCATGACGTCCATTAGTTCGAGAGAGCGAAGATTGGGCAGAAGGGAGCATAGGGCTTGCACAGTGCGGATCAAAACACGAGGATTGCCATTGTACGGCCAGGCACGTGAAGGCTCGTAGATGTATAACCCACTGATCATCTCTACCGCACTTGGAAATGTCTGTGCAGTTTGGGTGATAGCCACGACTACAGAGACAAATCTTTCGAGCGCCTTCCCATCATGACGGGACATGTTTATGCACAGGGTTGAAAAGAGGTGGAAGCGAGCGCGATGCATCCAGCTACGGCAAACGAGTGAACATGACTTGAGCGTCGAGAGCATTAAACTAGGATCGGAAGCGAGGGTATCAATGACTCCGTCTAAGAGTTCCGCCGGTATTGCGATGGTATTGGGAGTGGGTTGTTGGGAAATTTGTTTGTGGTTCACAGGACGATTGGGGGATGAAGGTTCGAGGTGAAGATGAGTCACTACGCGTTTTGCTCCTGCTTTTAGAGGGTTAATCCGAGGAGAACATCCTCTCAGAACACACACCGACCTATTGCCTTGACTCGAAAATGAACCTAGCCGCTGTCAATCAGGGCGGCACCGAAACCGACATGAACGCCGCCGCATGATCCACGCATTTCATTCTTGTTTGCGCAATCTATACTCCAAAATACTGAGGTTGAATGGCGATACGCGAGGTGGTGAGCGTAAACGGGTATAAATTTGCTCTGCCTTGCATAGGGTGTCTGTTAGTCACGTCTGACAATTAAAGTCAGACCCATGAGCAAGGACAGCCGTTACTAAACGTAATAACGACTGAAAGCATGTCATGAAATGGAAGACAATTGTAGATATCCGGGAAGTCGGTGATACCAAGGTCGCGGGAAGGCTGAGCTTGTGCCAGCGACAGTTGATACGACTTGGCGTAATCCTGGGTATGGATTCTGGAAAAGCAGATCGCAGGTGAAAACATGCATCTGAGCGCTTGTTGAAGGGCGCATGGTGTAGTTGGTTATCACATCCGCTTAGCATAATGCACGGCTGTTTGCGGGGGGTGCTGGGTTCAATTCCCAGTGTGTCCAGTTTTGCTTCTACATCCATTGATCCTTTTCTTCCCCCCGCATGGGTCAGTGGTCGAGATTCTGAGAGAAGGACCCGGATATTCGTGGACGAAAAACACGCGGCGATGGAAGAGTAGGTGTGATTCCAATGCTAACGATCAACACTCATTCTATAAAGCTGAGAGCATACTATGTCAGTCAAAGTCAAGATACTACGTTGAAATGAATATATCTTCATCGGTGTGTCCTTCACCTTGGCCAACGCAGAAATGAGTTTCAGCATTGAGAATAGGATCTCTGTGAGTCCTGCTATCCAAGAGAGCACTCAAGATATTTTGGGCAAGCTGTCGTTCTGATTCATTCGTCCGATACGTTGCTACAAAGCCAAGAGACTGTCCGACAGATACGTGGCACTCGATGACCTCAACCAATAAGTTATTAAATCAAGGACATCCAATCGAATACTGTTCGATAGATAATAAGCCAGAGTTTCATACTATGATCACTGCAAGACTTTTTGAGCAAATTCGAAACGAAGATCAAAATTAGTTTACACTTACGGATTTCTCCGCTTTCCAAATATAATGACGACCAGAAAGCGGTATTTTCTTCTTCGTCAAGGAAGACAAACGTTGGGCAGCGACGGTCCAAATCTTGTTTCCAACGAGGGAGGGAGTCTCGACCTCGGAGCGTGTGATGACAATACCTTCCAACTTGCGGAATCTCGGAAGGAGTCGTTCGAGTCGCTTCCAATTAAACTGCGTCAACTGTGTCACCGCATCATCGGGGTTGGGGTAATTTTCAACGATGAAAGAGAGTTCAATATGGGTGATCAATTCTGCGGGAACGTCTTGGAGAAGTGCGATCATGGCATCCCACTGCCATAGGCTGACAACCGGACTTCCAGGACGTAAGAGGACAGATACGTGGAAGCGGCTGAGGGAAGAACACGAGGAAACCGAGAGTGCATGACGGAATTCGTCGACTAAGGAGAAGCCAGGTCAGAATAGAATTGACACAGTACATAGGGTGACTGGGGCATACCAGTCTCTCCGGAGTTAGGAGCGACGATCTTGTAACAGACAGCCAGATACGTCAGATTCGGTCCGATCTCGCGGATCAGTGCACCCAGTGCGAGCACCGTCGACCATTGCGATGCATGCACATCTACGGCCTCCAGCGACTTTGCTAAGCCCGAGTTGCGGAACAGGTGCAGCAAGCGGGTGTTTGCAGGCGAGTATGCTAACCACAAGGTCGATATCTCGGGCAGCGTCGCAGCGTCTTCTGCTACCATCGTATCCTCTGTCGGCTCGTCGAAAGCTATCTGGCACGACGCCACTTGTATGCGATCAATGGTAGCGAAAAGACGAAGTACCGAAACGATTTCGTACGTAGCAAGAGGCTTTCCTTTCGCGTTCATGACTCCGCATAACGTTAAATGATCAAGATACTCGCAGGGAGATGATGCGGATTTGCAATTCTGCGAAGGGGGGTTGATATGTTCATCGCTGTCCCAAGTCATATGCAGGAGGAAGAGGTTCGATAGCTGTGGTAACAGCTCTGAAAGCAGAGCCAAGGAAGTTGGACCTATTGACATCTTCCTGAAATCAACTTCCTTGCGTGGGTCGCCCAGTGTGACATTGCGAACATATGTTCGGATGCTCGCGGACGGTAGGTATGCGAGAAATGCTTCCAGTCGACTCGACTCCCGTATAAGTATGCTGTGGAAGAGGCGGTAGCGACTGCGATTGTGCCAGCTCCGAGAAACGAGCGAGCAGGATGCAAGTGTGAGCTTGTCTTGGTCTAGGTGGTCGATAATCTGGTCGCTCAGCTCGGGTGGGATGGGCAGTTGCATCGTAGAGTAAAGTATGGCAGAGTAGAGTTGTTACCATACTCGAGTTTTATAAGAGGATTGAGCAGCGAGGACATGGCGTTGCAGGACCGAGAACACGCAGCGCAAGGAAGAAGATAATCATGGGAATGCTGCAGAGGCGTGGCGATAATAATCTTTTGGAGACAAGTCTAAACGGATTGAGCACGAGATGTGAGCATATGCGCACGCACAAAGATCCAGCACAAACAAACCTTTGTACTACGACTGAGTATTATTTACAAAACATTTATGTTGCATATGTTTGATTGTACTAGATTGCGAGGCTACATGATGACGGCTACATGGGAAACTGTGAACAATGTCCGTCGCCACGCATCTACCAGACAGCTTCAATAAACTCGAACCAATCTGATTGGGTGAGATACCGTATCCGCCCGTCCTCCACCATTTCTGGGAATATACTCGTGAACGTCTTCTGAAATGCTTCAATACCTGACGCGGAACCACCGATGAAACCAATCTCTTGAATCGGCTCATAAAGTGTGTCATTCTGCGAAAGTTGGATGCATCCTCGATGTCCGTTCCGGGCATGTGAGCCGTGAATGCCGCACACAACCGGGGACTACTGGGATATAACTGGAGGAGAAATCGCAGGAGGCAGTACGCGGCAGACTCCTACCCAAGTCTCCACGGTTCAGAAAAGGCGGCGCTTGATAGCGCGCTAAGGTGCACGCGATATACGCGTGGCGATTTGAACCTTATTCGCCTGGTCTTCACCAGGGAGACTGGCAACAAACATGATTTGAAATTCGTCGGCCACTACGGCAGCGCTGCGGACTTTGAATATCTTCAACATCTTTCGAGATCTCATTCAATTATGTAATATATCTACATGATATTTTACTGCATGCTTTCCACATTGGTGTAACATGCCTCGAGCAGCTCGAGTAGTGTTTATCACACATTCTGGGAGCATTCCAGAGTATGCCTAAATTATGTCTGAATCAAAACAGAGCTCTTACACAATGCATTTTATAAATGAGACAGCAGTTCACAGAAATGCAAAAACCTACCAGGAAAGCATGTGCATGGCATTTTAATGCCTTGAAAACATCTACAGAACCATGTTGAGACTTCCAGCTTGAATGAGTAGCAGAATTTGAATGCATGCATGGCACGGCATTAGTACTATCCCTGACATTGTTCAACAGATTCCTTCGAGTGCGGCAGACTATAGCAGTTACTTGATATGGCGATTGCAAGATACATTACATAATGTTGTGAGATTCGAAAAGAATGCGAAGATATTCAAAGTCCGCAGCGCTGCCGCAGTGGCCGACGAATTTCAAATCATGTTTGTTGCCAGTCT